GTGGTTAGAGTTCTTGTGTCTTTTTTCAACAACATACGTTATCTTATTGTTCTCACCCGTCTTCCCCCTATTAACACAAAGATGCATCCAGATCACAAAGAGATCATTAGAATTTTGTAAGTTTTTGTCTATATACGCATGTTATCTTAACGCTCTCAATCTTCTTTCCCTTTATTGTCGTCAAGGACAAGGGAATATGTCTCTTTATTGTCGTCACGGTCAAGGAAATATGTCTCCAGGTCACGATCAGATCGTTCAGAGCGTTCACCCCATTGTTATTTCCTCCTCTCGACTTTCAATAGAGGGATTTCACCCTCTTGTTTACCAAGGTCACTTTGAGGTCAAGGAAGAGGTCAACTACAGGTCACGAAAAGGTCAGCTATTGTTCTCCTAAACAATAGGCCCCATTGTTTACCCCCCCCATATGTCGGCTATACTACTGTTTTGTACAATGTAAAAAGCTGCCTCATCATGTTTCGGTGGCAATAAAAAATGCCTCCCTCCCCCATCATATTTCTTAAAAAAATGGGCATGAGAACCTAGTAATTAATTTTGCATGGCCTAAACTGACTCCAGAGTGTCACGATTGATCGATCATCTCTTAATTCAATTTTAATTCTTTTTTTATCAGTCTTTCCATTGATTTAATAAAATATTTTAAATTTTATTTTTTTTGCTTTTATTGGTGTGTCTATTACATAAAAATCTAATGTAGGTCTTTTCGAAAGGGTACCTAAAAGTCCGGACTTTGTCGTGTCCGGACTTAAATGTCACAGTGTTTAATAATATATGTAGCCCTCTAGGCACGGGAATTAAGAACATGGAAAATTTTGTCTATCTTTATTGCAGTTTTTGTCTCGCCTGCGACGAATGTCGCGAAGCGAGACATAGCGACCATAGATTCCGTCGTCGTCGTCGTCGTCGGCGTCCAACTTTTGGTTAACCCAAATGTCAAAGTTTTATAAACTGCAATAACTTTCTCAAATTTTATTCAGTCTTCTTGAAATTTGGACACAATATTCAGTATGGATAAAAATTTATATCCCAAGTATGATTTTGAAAAAAAAAATTCAAATTTTTCCGTATTTTTTCCTTAAGTTGGACTTAGTTTTTTCATGATAATTTATGGTGAAGACCTATATTCCAGCAACTATAAGTTATAGGGATATGATAATTAGTCAGTGGATACATCATGGGTAACCACAAACGTCAGTACCAGAATTAGGTCATCTTGACCTACATTTTTCTGCATGAGTGACTTTGGTTAAATTTTTGGTGGAGGTCCATATCTCAGCATCTATAACTTATAATGGCATGATGATTTGTCATTGTACAGGTTATAAGTAACCAACAACATCAGTACCAGAATTAGGTCATTTTGACCTACATTTTTCTGCATGAATGACTTTGGTTAAATTGATAATGGAGGTTCATATTTCAGCAACTATAACTTATAGTGGCATGATAGTTAGTCAGTGGATACATCATGGGTAACCACAAACGCCTGTACCAGAATTAGGTCATCTTGACCTACATTTTTCCGCATGAGTGACTTTGCATAAATTTATGGTGGAGGTCCATATCTCAGCAACTATAACTTATAGTGGCATGATAATTTGTCAGTGGATACATCATGGGTAACCACAAACGCCTGTACCAGAATTAGGTCATCTTGACCTACATTTTTCCGCATGAGTGACTTTGCATAAATTTATGGTGGAGGTCCATATCTCAGCAACTATAACTTATAGTGGCATGATAATTTGTCAGTCTACACATCATGGGTAACCAACAATATCAGTACCATAATTAGGTAATCTTCACCTACATTTTCTGCATGAATGACTTGATACATATACAGTGGATTTGATTTCAAAATGCAAGTTCAAATTATTGCGACTCATAACACGTTGCAATATTCGCAATAATAAAAACATCACAATAATTTGTGAATTTACAGGGTATATGTATATATATATAAATGCCAATATAATCGCCAAGGGATTAGATATTAAGTCAGCTGTTCCATTTCTTTATTATTGTATTTTTGAGTTATTCCTTCTGAAATGTCAATAAATGCTTCAGTTTATCAGACAATCATTTCTTACTAACCACAGCGACAGCAGGCGAGACACAGGGTTGCGGGCAACCCTTACGTACTTTTTTGTTTGCTAGATAAGTTGGAACGACCCACTTCGTGCAGATGTCAATTACGAGAATTCTTCATACAGAGTAAGGGATTTTCTTAAATCTATTTTTTTTTTTTTGCTGTTAAGGTGCAGAATTTGGTATATAGTTAATCCATGACTAAGTGCAACTTTTTGTGCGCAATAGGTATTCAGTTTTTACAATGGATGGCGCTGTAGCCCTCCGGTCTATCAAGATATTTCTTTCGGGGAGCTACAGTTCTGCAGCTACTTTTACAGTAAAATATCCAAATGCGCCCCATTATATATACTTAGTATAAAGCAAATGTGACAGACTCTATAGTATCTTCGATAACAAGAAATCTGTGAGCCAATGATAACTAGTAATACCCCCGCTCTGATGTAAATAAACAACTGTTAATTTAGACAAGTTCAATTACAGGCAGATGCACAGAAACATTTGAAGTTGACCTCATATTCATTTCAAAATTAATCCCCCCATATGGCTTGCCTTAAAAAAGAGTGTACTAAAATTAAGCATCTGCTATGAATAGTTAATGAGAAAACTGCAACAAAAAACAGGAAGTTGACATCGGGTTTAAACAAAATTGTAACCAAACGTATGGCATGCCTCAGAGAAAATTGTCTTAAAATTTCAAGCATCTGCGATGAGTAGTTGCTGAGAAAACTGCGACAAAAATAAATTTATTATGTATGAAACAGACAGACGTACTAACAAACAGGAAGTTGACACTGGTTTTTAACAAAAATATTTCCCACTGTATAACATGCCTCAGAGAAGATTGTTCGAAAATTTGTAGCATCTGTGATGAGTAGTTGACGAGAAAACTGCGACGGAAATTTGTTATGGACGGACACACAGGTACACGGACACACAGATACACGGACATACTGACAGACAAGGGTAAAACAGTATAACCCCCTCTCCTTTGGAGAGGGGGATATAAAAAGCTCACTGGGATACATCTTGTCTGTATATGTATAGTAAACATGAAATACATAAAGATAATGAACAATAGTCAAGCACAGAAATTCATTTATTTAAAAAATACAAAATTGGAGCAGAGCGAACACGGACCTCCCAAAATCAGAGGTGGGATCAGGTGCCATGGTGGAGTGAACATCTGCTACATTATTTATTGTAAATAGTAAAACAAATTAATGGACATGTTTGTTTTATTATGTTGTTATATTTTCTTATCAGAAGCACTGAATCAATTAAGGAATAACTGCCATATTTTTCGATTTCATGATATACCTGTCACGGTAGCCTAGTGGTAGAGCGTTCCCTTCGTGATCGGGAGGCCCGGGTGCGATTCTCGAAGTGGGTCGTTCCAACTTATCTAGCAAACAAAAAAACTGCAATAAAGATAGACAAAATTTTCCATGTTCTTAATTCCCGGGCTTGGAGGGCTACATATATTATTTATAACAAAAATTATAAGGAATATTTTGTTATGGAAACATCGTAAGAATATATTAAGAATTCATGGTTAAAAATTTTGAGATGTAAATAAAAAAAATATGGAGAAATAAATCGAAAATAGAGCACTTTTCTGTGCGCAATATAGTTTTTTTCAATTGGTGGCATTGTAGCTCTCGATCCGGCCTGTCAAAATATTTTTTCCAGAGAGCTACAGTTCTGCAGCTACTAGAAAAGAAATGGTATACAACAATATATTCTTTTTACTTGCATATGGGATGTATACCTATCAGTTGATTCCATATGCAAGAGAATGGTCAACAATTTCTAAAACAAGGTAATTTATTGACAAACAAGTTGATGGAACAATCTTAAAGGCAGAATTTCGTAAGTTCTATGGTTGATACAATGTCCTTGTCCGCAAAATCTATCCCTTTGCGAGGAAAAAAAACTAGATCCACTCAAGTGTATTTCAGTGAAATTTTGGGCTATAATCAGACATAGGTTGAGGCCAAGGTATTTTATTTCCGCTGGTTTTCAAAAATGAGGGGTATTGGACATTTGCGAAATACATGTAGCGTACAGTGGACATCAGACTTCGGACTTTAAATAAAAGGGAGCATCTCAAAGTGTAGAAACTATAAATCATATTTGCATTTGAATTAATAATGCAATGGCATTTGATATTTTGGTTATAAAAAAACCATCTTCCTGCGATATTTATTAATAGGAAATGAGGAACACTTGGATTATTCTAATTTTTCAGTTAGTCTCTTTGGAATCGAAACTGGCGTCAAAAACCAAATGTATTTTCCTTTTCTCTCTTATTTATTTCTTCCTTCAAATGTTCTTTACCTTTTATGTTTTATTATTAAGAATTGAATTTCATTATTTTTCTGCATTAAGAATTGTTTTCTATATGCCTAATTTAACACAACCATCCCCCCTCCAAAAAAAAAAGAAAAGGATGTGTCCTAATGTATATCGAATTTGAAATAAACAAAGAGTGATGTACCTTTGACTTTGCTGGAAACATGATGCAGGATTCCTGATATAATCAGCTTTATCAGATTTATACCAATATCAGTTACCTGGTTCAATCCATTTGTATAAGCAAGACTTATATACAGACTTAAATCATAACTCAAATTCTAATTTTGTTTTATAAAATCAAATTAATTAAAAAGCCAGTTGAAGCCACCCTTCCACAAGCACACACCTTTTGGCTCAGTACTTGTGTTATATTAAAGTTTAATAATTCAGACAATTTAAAACTATCTATAACAATCTAGATTGTATAGATAGTTTTAAATTCTCTGAATTCTAAAACTTCAATGTAACACTTGTGATATACGAATTTTTTTTTACCCACTTGTAAAAGGTGACAAGCAAAAATAAATAGGAAATAGACCTCTTTCATAAAACGTTGAACCCGGAACGGTTTTAACGTTTAGTTTTACATTGTCACGTGATACCCGACAAAGCGTCTATAGTTAACATGTCGTCTACAATGTTTACATCCTTGAAAGTGGTAGAACTGCAGGATATTCTGAGAGGAAAAGGGATTTCTGTTTCAAATGTGAAGCGAGAGAACTTGGTAAAGCTATGTGAGGCAGTTGTTAAGCTGAACTTACCAGATGATCCCGATATGTGCGCCGATCATCCAGTGTCAATATACGATATTCTCGGCAAGTTTTCTGTTGACCCCTTCAAGATCCAAGGACTTTCTAACGATCTCACAAAATTACCAACCTTTTCCCTGTATGATGTGTTTAATTACTTGTTATATAAAACTGCAAATTATGATCAAAGGAAATTAAAAGCGTACAAATCTTGTGAAGATTATAGACTATTCTTCGATGGGTATGTTGAGAAGTTAGAAATGAAGGAACTTGAAGATGGAGATAATTACCTTATCAAATCCTGCGTGAAACCTACGCAGAAGGATAGGACTTACCTAAATAAAACAGCTTATGATGTTTGGGTGGTTATGTGTAAAAGTGGAAGCGTAAATTGTGCTTACTGCACATGCATTGGAGGGTAAGTAAACTTTTATAAATACATGAAATATAAGTGAGACAGGTACACTGAGTAGGATGTAAGCTGGTTTCAATGAGTGAATGACCACACAAAACACCTGTGACATGTAATTAATTTTATTTGCAGAAGTAGGTTCAATGCAGCCTGCATTATACACACATCTATCTATATGTTTAAAAAAAAATCCAAGTACATGTATATATACCACTGCAATTGATGACTTTATTACTTGGAGTAAGGGGGGGTGATATTTTCTTACAAATGACATCAATCTGTTTTTGTAGAGCTGATGGAGGATGTCGCCACATCGGAGCAACCCTGTATGAAATTGAGGCTTTTGATGTCAAGTCAGTCACAGATGGAGATAACTTGTGGGTAAAACGACCACGACATCATGATTGCCCTGTGCCTATAAAGCAACTTAAAATCTTGAAAGCTAGGTACTTGTTCTTTTATGACTCTTGTAGAATGTTATGATATATTTGCAATCTTTTAATTCTTAAAAGTAAACTCTAGGTCTGAATGATTGATTCTTAAATAAACATTTAATTGGCACAGAGACTACAATTAGGATACATATTGAGTAATGTGTTAGTATTATATTTTGTCTATTGTTTGTGCTTTACATAAAATCATATGTACATGCACTTCAAATATTATTAAGTAAGTTTTATTATGCCATTATAATCAATTGTAAGACTTTAAAAAATATATTGAAAAAAAATGATGATGTACCTACAACAAATCATTTCAAGACTGACACAAATTTCAATTAAGGTATGCAAGTGTGGATTATCACCAGTCTGCTGCTCACAGTTTTGACCCGCGCAGTGTAGATCAGAGACAAACTTACACAGAAATGGAAATCAGTGAAATAGCAAAGAATCTTCGAGAGGTAACCCATTTCCCATAATTATGTTCTGTGTATTTATTTTTTCTGCTTAGTGTTGTCTTTGCATTGTATCTTTATCTGATTTGAAAAACCAATTGAAATTGCCCACCATTGTTATCTAATACAACAATTATAAAGCATCATATAATTAAAGTGCTAATTTTTTGTTTACATTTCATTTGTTATTTAAAACTTTCAATTTACATTTTTTAAATTTCTTCCAGATATCCCCAAATATACAAGCCTTAGATATTCTGGAGGTACAAAAACCAGTGCAGAATGACAAGGGAGATGAAGCTGATCAACAATGTCCTAAATGTTCTGCTTTTACCATGCCAAACATGTTAAAGAAAATAGCATCTTGTAATGCAAATGAATTCCATAACTCTGAGAATTTATGTACTCTTTCCAATGATAATATTTCTCACATTGAATCATGCACAAGTGAGCAATCCGACTGCAAGATTTGGCATGAGCTGAGGAAAGGCAGATTGACTGCATCTAATTTTAGTAAAGTCTGCAAAGCAGTTGATTCTAACAAATGTCCACCTTCACTTCTAAAGACTATTTTAGGTGAATATGGAGAAATTTCAGCTCCATCATTGGTGTGGGGTAAAAAGAAAGAAAAAGCAGCTCTTCAACATTACATGAGAGTATGTCATAAGTCACATGTACATCCCCTTCTGTCACATAAAGGCTTAAGAATACATCCAACCATGAATTTCATTGGTTGTTCTATTGATGGTCTTTTTACATGTAAATGCCATGATAGCACTATTATTGAGGTTAAATGTCCTTTTACACACAGAGACGATGAACCAAGGAATGTTTGTCTTAAAAAAGGCTGTGTTATTAATGAGAGAGGTGAGATGGTTGTTTCTGAAAACTCAGAATACTATCATCAGATGCAAGGGCAGATGGGTATATATGGTATACATCAATCTAATCTTATACTTTATACAAAGAAAGGAATATGTGTTGCTCATGCTGATTTTAATCCAGATTTCTTCCAGAAGATGCTCAGCAAACTTGAATCATTTTTTAAACAACATGTGATTAAATCTTTAATGCAACAGTAACTGCTTATGTACCTGCATTATAAATTAGGCAAAAAAAGCTGCGTTTACTAATTTACTACAGAATATATGTAACTACTGTACTGTTACCTCCTGAAAAAATGGAGTTGGTAGGCAGAATTAAGATTGTGTTATTGGTGAAAAATGCTTTGTCATATAAGATCTATTTCAGTATTTCACTTTTTTGTAAAATTAAGCTAATCGGATGATTTCCTCTGAAAGGAGGACTAATCAGATCCCTGTATGACAGTTACATGTAGCATTAAAATGTAAAATTATCAAAGCATTGTTATTATTTTGTCATTTATTATTCAAATGTATGTGCTATACTGATTTACACACATAAGATTTACTTCACAAGTTGACAGTCAAGGTTGCATAACATTGCACATACTTTTACAATTTGACTGTACAAAGGCTTCATCTGGAGAGTCATAACACCTTGCAAAATTGCATAGTTTTTCAAACGTCCAATTGCTCGTTCTACATGGATTTGAGCTCGAGCAATCCTTCTCGTTTTAGTGGTGGCATTGCTACCCATCTGTCTTCCAAAAGAAAATGGGGGAATGTTTAGTGTTGCACCTTTTAATGCTAGATCGCCTCTTATGAGAAAGCCACGGTCCGCCATAATGTCATCACCAAATTCGATATTATCCAAAATGCCAGATTCTTGTACTATTTTCTTGTCAGAAATACTACCAGTGTACAAATCAGATACAAAACAAAATGAACCCGATGGAGTTATTGCTACTAAACACTTGAAGGTATTATGGTGTTTGTAAGATGAATATGTTATTCTCTGAGCAGATGGAAGACTGGGTTTTTGCACAAAGAATTCAGTGCAGTCAATAATGCATCTTGTTTTTTTGAAATGTTTAAAGCATTTGGGCAAATTTTCCAAGATTTGTTCTTTGGATGGCCATTTGATGAGAAAGCAAAGGTCAATGTACATGAGACACATCCATGTAGTAAATATTCGGCTTACTGAACTTTCAGAAATGGCAAACATATCACTGAGTGATTTGGTGTCAAATCCTCTTCGTAGTCGCAACAAGGTTAGAGTGAATTCTTCTCTCAATGAAAGCAAGCGTTTAGGTCCTCTTCTTGGAGTCTGTTAACATGAAAGTAATAAATAGAATCATTATTGTGGCTTTTTTGTGTTGGTATTAATTAATTGTGTATTTTTTATAGACATTACAGGTTTTTTAAAATTGATGCACATTAGATTCACAGAAAATTTGTTTGGATCATAATGATAAGAAGAGAAATGACATTGTATTACCTTGGAATCCTGTCGCTCATTTGTTTCTGTGCTATTCCAGTACACCATTGAGGATGCCTTAATCTTAAGTACATTGATGATGATAGTAAAAACTGCCAATGTTATACCTGTATGGATCAAGGATAAATACATTATTTATTTATAATAATATATAATTATATAAAGTATGATACAAAGTTTATTAAATGTAACATGATGAGATTTCAAATAATTATAGGTATGTACAAAGTCAGAAATATATTTAAAATGCATATTAGATATGCTAATTTTCAGCCAAACCTACTACATGTATCTCTCTTCCATTTAAAATGATATGTCTGAGAATTTTTTAATTCAATCAAAAGTAGTACATTGTAATTATCTTTACACATGAAACAAAGTTCATTAAGTTAATGAATTAATTTAACCTGTGTAAAATTTGCAGGACATGTCATTTTTATATACATCTTCCATCAGAAGGCGTCTCTTTGTGTTCCCCCTATCTTGGGATTCCTCATTGCTTGACACTCCCTCTATGTCCGGGTTGGTCTGGGTGGCAACATTAACCATTTGCACAGGTTTAGCATATAAGTGGTCATCAACTGAAATGTTGGAAATTGAAGTTACAAGTTAGATCAGCTCGCAATAATTTTTTTGTGATGCTGATATTAAAAATTGCTCTCCTCTTAATCTTTTGCATTTTCTAAAAAAAAAATTGTGATCCACTCCCACTTGTAATATGGATCCGGGCCACAATTAAAGGGTGAAGGTCAAATGGCTAAAACGTAGCACATGTAGGAAATTCATATGCCTCCCTTTCAATGATAAAAATAAAAATAGCTCACATGTTTTAGATACTTTTGGGGTATAGAATAAAAGTAGAGTGTCTAAAGTTTACAATGATATGCAGCAAGGTGCATTTCAAGCAAAAATTATGCCTAGAAATATGAATTGAAAAGAGCATTCATTTGGTTTGTTTACACTTTTTTTGCCAAGCGAGAGCTATCCTGAGGTCATGACGTCAGAAGTTTATTAATAACCAGGGAATTCCACATTCAACACCCCTATTTCTGGATGTGAATATTTATCTGACACATTGCTCTATCATGTGGTCAAAGATATTTTGGAAATGAAGATTTTTAAAAAAGTTACAAAGAAAATAAAACACATGTTTTTACTATATAAGTCTATATGTAAGCTAATTGTGGTCCGGGTCCTTATGATGGGGTGTTTGAGGGATTCCCCTGACTTTATTTTTAAAGATATGACAATGAAATTTTGACAGGAGGTGAGTTATACATTTTGAAATAGTTTCATAAAAATTTTTAAAAAATATTTAAGCATTTTAAAATTAATTTTTTTAAAAATTAAAATTTTTTGAGTGATTGAAAAAAAATTTAAATTATGCATCCCAGAATGCAATATTTCAGGGGAATTGATATGTCGGTGAAAGAGGTCACATTAGTGCATCCATTGACCACGAAGATAGTTCCTTTTTAAAAATAGAAAAACTGTTTTGTAATGTGTATTTGCATGTGTATTCTCAATAAGGGGTCCCTTTGAAGTCATAGATGAAAGACGAGGTGTTTATTGGAAATGACAGACAAGCTATCCATTGATTTCCCCCACCCAAAATAAGGCGCAATAAGAAGGTGGTGATTGGGCCAATATTTACAATAACATGTGCATGGATTTATTTTGCAGGAAAACACGTGGAAGTGGGATTCAGGCTTTGCCCGACTCATAATTGCACATGCAGGCAGAGGTTGTGTATTGGAGTTTACAATTTCAGGTGAGTGGAAATTATATTATGTTGTGTAAAAATATGTACTTTTCACTAAAATAGAAATGGGGGTTGATGGGTTTGTCATTTCAAGGAAGGTGGGGGGGGGGGGTATAGTTTGTAGTTTTTGACAAAAACATT